AAAATCCCATGAGAGCTGGGCAGGGTCCCCAGGGTTAATCCGGGAGAGGAATAAATCCAAGGGGCACCAACGCTTTGGCTAGGAAACACCAGTCTCAGCTGAACCCTGATGCGATGACCAGAACGATACGAGCCGCTTGGCCTGGGATGCATGTTTCTCTGCTGGCCATGGGCACAGGGCAGCATCCTGCTTGTCCCCCATCCCACAGGTCTGGGTGTTACCCACCTCGGGGGGACGGGAAGCGGCCGCGCATGTCCCGGAGCTGCGGTGCAGCCGGTGGTGCTCAGCGCTGGAAACATCTGGGGCTCTGCTCGTGCTGCTCCATCCAGCGTCAGCCACGTGCCAGAGGCGCAGCGAGGGATGGCCAGGCCAAGAGAGGTTGCACAACAAGACTCTTGTAGAGACTTGGGTTTTGCATGAACTCACGTGTCCCAGACCTGCTCCTGAAGCCACACACGTGTCTCCGGAGCTCGTCTTGCAGGAGCCATGCTGGAGAGGAGACATCTGTGCTAAGGAGGAGGCACCTATGCTAAGAAGGATGCAAAATCCCATGCAAAATGCCCGCAGCTGTGCTGCGCTGGAGCTATCACCTGGGTTCCATGACATACAGAACAACAGCTTTCCTTTGGCAGAGCAGCACCTTTCCTTACCCCGCTCTGTGACCCATGGAAACTGATGCCAGCACCAGCAGGACCATAGCTGAGGCACTGGTGTTGTGCTAGGGATGGGCTGGCCATGGCAGGAGGTAGGTGCCATCCGGGAAAGGTGAATTCCTTACTCCCTGTCTCGGCACCTTTCCCACATCCCATCCTCATGGCAGTGAGCTCCATGTTGATCCCGCAGGTCCTGGGGGAACTCTGGCTCTCCGGGCACTCCTTGCCCACCGGATAAACAACCTGCCATCTCTTGGCACATCCCCACTGTGTTTTCCTTGTCCCTTGTAAACACCAACAGGAGCTGGTGCAGGCATCACCAATCATTTTTTATGTGACACCTCGATCTGTGTTCCTCTCGCACCGCTCCCTCTGGCAGCGGGGCCGGCAAGGATTACTAAGAGGCAGCCCAAGCCTCCACTGGCACATCCCATACACCACTGGCTGCCCCAAGGCCCGTCCCCAGCCTTCGGGAGCAGCTCCTACCATGTAAAGCTCAGGCTGCCACACCAGGCTCCTGCACAAACAGACAGCACGGCCCCATGGTGCCCAGGGCTACGTGCATGGGTGGTACACACTCACACATGGCCATATGCTCTGTGCAGTACCCAGGAGCCCTGAGCAAGGACTATCTGCCATGAGTACATGGGAGAAATGCGGCTGCAGAGGGAGAAAGGACCTGGGGGGGAGCTGAAGCCAGCCTCAGGCAGGTGGGGAGCTCTCATTAGGGTTTGTTGATACATCTCCTTACGGCTCAGGTGGGATGCCGTCACATTTATGTGCAGGGATGGACCTGCCTCTGCCTCTCTGTGATACCCCATGTGTCCAGACCAATCCATCTGGCTTTGTCCCATAACCTTGCATGCCCCAGCATCCTCATTTGACCCCTGCCAGAGCCAGCACAGGGGCAAAGGCAAGCAGGCAGCACAAGCAGCACAGGGAATGGTGTCCTGCTGAGCCCTGTGAAATGTGGGAACACCATGGGGTGAGGGTTTTGGCCCAAACATTTGTCCCACACCAAGCAGGAGCCAAAAAAGCGTCCCCAAACCTCTTTGCACTACACACTGTACTCTGTATTTTCATCTTCAACAGTCAGCAGCATCTATTTTGGATCCAGCCTCAGGGTGAACCCCTAACAGCGATGCTCTTGTGCCGGGATGCGGTACCCACACCGCGACGCGGTACCCCCACCGCAGCACCCTGCCACACCGTGGCATCACCGCCAGCCCCTGGAGGTGCAGTTTCACCCAGGGTTTGTGTTTACCATTACCTCGTTAAGGGATTATTCAGCCTGTGGTTTCCTCTCTCGGCCGATCTGTTTGTGCTCGGCGGCCGGTGGCTCGCTGCCATCCCCTAAGCTACACGCCGGGCTATATAAGCGCCTCGCTGCCTCGGCTGCGGGAGGCTCGCGCGCAGCCCGGCTCGGCGGCGGTGCACAGCAGGGCTTGGGTAAGCAGCAACTCTCTCTTCTCCTTCCCAACAGGCTGCGAATCCCTTATCCCACAGCGGTCAAACCCTTGCCTCGCTCCAGGGACCGCAGCTCAGTTTGTGGCTCTGTGGGGAGAGGATGAGACGCTCCTTAACAGGGGTTTTATGGGTTTTGCACTAAGAGCAAATAAACCCCAACTCTGCTCAGCTTTTCCTCTTCGTGGCAGCTGGTGGTTATGTAGTATTGCTGTGCTATTAAGGCTGTGTAATTAAGAGCAGCTGTGATTAAGGGTGAGGTGGGTATTAATTGATGGGCAGATGAAGGTGCAGAGGCTGCAGGCTGGGAAACCTTGATGGGGACGTGGTTTCCCATGTCCAGCTTCTCTCTTCCTCATCCAGCTAATGGGTTTGGGGCAGGGTTAATGGGGATGCCAGCGTGGGATGTTGGGGGGGTACAACAGTGCTTTGCTCACAAGGGGCTGTTTGATCTCTTGTGGCTCTGTCCCACACCGGCTTCCCTGCCAGAAAGGGGATACAATGCTGAATGCTCCCTGACACCAGGATCCGGCTGCTGGAACCCCCCCCTCTCCCAGCATCACATGTCCCCGGGCCAGAGGGATGTATCCCATCCCAAACCCAGCACTGAACAAGTCACAGCCAGCTCCCAAAATAGCTGCCGAGTGGGAAACAAGCTTTCAGCCTGGATTAATTTTTCCTGGTTATTGTCTGGCTGCGAGTTCACAACCCCACCGTAAGCCCACAGAACACGGCTCATGTGTTGCTTGTTATTTTTGCTTGACTGGGATTTGCTGAGCCATAATCAAAGTATTTCCTAGTCCCGCATTCCCTGGTGTCGCTGGGGAAGGTTAAAACTGCTTACTAATGACAGGGTGTTCTCGCTGCCGGCTGCTCTTTGTCAGCCTTGTTTTATGGGTAAACTGAGGCACTGAAAAGCCTGAGGCAACATTTCCCCGCACCAGGCTTATTAATTTGGGGTGCATAAAATAAAGCATCTGGATAACAGCAGCTCCATGGGTACCTTCAGAAATTAAATACCCAAATGCTTGGTGTTGCAGGGCTAAGGGACTCGCTTATAGCAAAATATGAAGCGGCTGAGCTGGAGGAGAGCAACACAAAGCCTCAGTCCCTCATCTCTGTGTGCAGAAAAGCTCCTTGCTCACAGTTGCAGGGAAGACTTGGCTTTTGCATGGGATTTTTCCACTTTCAGAAGCACTTGGGAGCCTTCCCCCTCCCCACGCTCCTGGAACATACTGGGATACGATGCTGTCCTCACACTAAGCCCAGTATGCAGGCAGAGGGATGGAGGCATGATGTCTCTGCTCATGTGGGGGGCAGAGCAGGGGCCCACGGAGCCACATGGGCTGCAAAAGCATCCCTGCAGAAGTATTTAAGCTCTTAAAAGGCACTTTAAGGAGATGTCATTACAAAGCATCGCTCTGCAGAATAGATTTGGGCTCAGATGTGACAGTGAGAAGCAGAGGGGATGCCAGTGCAGATGTGGAGCCCCTGCTGCTCCTCTCTTGGGAAGCTGCTGTGGATGGGTTGGAGGGGGAATGAGCAGCTCCAGTTTTGGGCTGGTTCAGCCTTGGAGAAGCTCCCTGAAAGCAGCAAGACCCTGGGTGAGCCTCGACACAGCTGGGTTTGTCTCTGCAGGGCTGGGACGACTGAGGGTACTCCAAGGAGCCCCAGTCACCTCTGGAGACGATGGTCACTGTGAAGGAATGGATCCTCCTCCTCCTCCTGGGAGCCACATCCGTTCTAGGTGAAGGTTACTCGTTTCTATTCCCGTCTCTGCGCTGTCCCCTGCCCGCGGGCACACCAGTGTGAAGGCATGTCTGTCGGCGGCTGCTGAGCCAGCAGACACGGACCCGATATCAATGCCAGCTGCTGCTCTGGGTCACTGCAGTGCTTGCCTGGCCAAAGGACTTCCAGATGAGGGCTGGCACCCACCCAGCCAGCAGCACACGGGCACGGCCTGTCTGAGAGGCAGCAGCCTCTGGTTAAACATGGATAAACCCCCGTGCTGGGACCATCCCTGGCTGAGTCTGCACCCCAGCTCCCCTGTGTTCTGAGCAGACCCACCCTGGCCAGTGCCTTATCCATCACCCGAGCATGAAACAAACCCAGCCTCCAAGCCGAGCCCTTGGGAAGCATCACCAAGGCTCTTCTCCAGGAGAAGATGCTCAGGAGCAGCAGACTCTGTCTGCTGGCTCTGCAGGGTTGCACATACCATAGCACTGAGTGATAAGCAACCTGCCACTCTGTGCCGGTGGTCTTGTGAGGAAACGTGTTTGTAGGCTCTTTGGGTTTGTTTTTCAGGGCTATAGAGGAATTTTGCCCTGAAGTGCTCTGGCCAGACACCTGGTTTAAAACAGGGAGAGTCAATTTGTAGCTGGGGAAGTGCCCAGAAGCCCTTGCTGAGCCCCCAGGAGTTCAGAGCCAATGCTGGTCAACTTCAGGCTTAGCTCCCCAGTTAAAGTGGGGAAGGTCCACCAGCCACAACCACCAGCTCCCCTTGGGCACACAGGCTGCCAGCAAGTGCAGAAACCAGCCTGTGTCCCATAGCAACAACCAGCCTCATTCACTTTGGGTTCATTTCTCCCCACGAGGGAGAGGCAGGATATATTTTAGATCTCCAAAAACAAGAAGATGATTTGATCTGAGCTGGTCCACCACAGAAAGCACAAAAAAGCTTTCCTTGGGTGCTAAGGGAAATGGCAAATTTGCATCATACCTGAGGTACAGCAATGCTGTGGGACATCTCCATCACACCCTTCATTTGGCATCTCCTGCCCTGCATCCCACAGGAGCTCTAACCTGCAGCTCTTACCAGCCACAACCCAAAGGGAAAGCTGAAAAACTGATCCTAAGCATGCCCAATCCCTTGAGTCTAATTAATTCATTGTTAACCTAATTTAATCTCTTATTCATTAATCCTTAGGTCAAAGGCTTCTGAAACCAGCCCTCGGCAGGATCCAGATAGGACAGAAAACCTTCAGCCCGCTGGTAATGCTCAGCTTGGAGAGTAAGTTGATCCCAGCTCGAGTGGCTTTCCCTCACCAGGACAAGGGGTGTTTGCACGTGCCTTGGGTTTTTTCAGCCTCAGTTTACAACCAAACACTATTATTTGAGTAGGTGAGGACATTTAAGCAATGGAATAAATGTTAATCATCTGCAACCTCCTGTAGGGTTCTAGCTATCGCTGACACACGCTGTTGGCTCCTCTCCTGGAAAAGTGAAGGTCAAGTGCGTGACCACAGCCCTGGCTCCCGCGGGAAGCACGGGCGGGCTGGGAGGGCGAGGAGAGCCCAGGGATGGGCAAGAACATGCTCTGACTTGCCCTTCCCCTTCCCAGCCTGTCCCCACGCAGTTGGTGACCCCATATAGAATGAAAGCCTGTGGGGTATTAACTACCTGTAGAGCCCAGTCTGCTCCTTGACCCCAAGGAGACATTGCAACCTTTTAAGCTTTACTGCCCTGGGCTCAGGATTTAGATTCCAGCAGGCCCTGGAAGGGCTGGACACGCTGATGCCATAGCTGAGGGATTAAGGGACTTTCCCAGCTTTCTGTCCCATTCCCAGCAGCTCTCTTACCTGCTGGGGAGAATCAAAGCACAAAAACATGAACACTCAGAGGTTTTCTTCACTTGGTCTTTTGAAGAAAACTTCCAGGAAGATTGTTTTCCCCTCCAAGTGGATGGCACGAGGCAGTGATGCTGAGGCTTGCAGAGCAGGGGCTGACTCCTGCTTCTCTAGGGAGAAATAAAGCAAAATACTGAGATTCTGACCAACGCAATTGGAAATTAAAGCTCCTGCCCTTGGCAGCAGTGAGCTGTAAACTCAGGTTTTGCCTTCAGGAGAGGGGGTCCTGGTTGGGTTGAGCAGCCAGGCTCGGTGCAGGGACTGGTGCTCAGCCAGGGAATGGGCAAACCCTGCTTGAACCACCCTGTGCATCCTCTGCCCGCAGGTTCGAGGAGCAGCTCTCGCCGGGCAGACCCGATCTTCACCTACACCAGACGCAGTATGTGCTGCTGGCCAGTGCCACGGGTCCCTCCCCACATCCCCACTAGTGCTCGGTCCCTTGGCTTCTCCCCATCCTCTGCTTTCCACTTTTTCTGCTGCCGAGGTCCTACCCAAAGCCATGTGATGCTATTTTCCTCCTGCAAGACTCCCCTCCTTTCTCATCATCACCAGCCCTGCAGTGACCCCAAACAAGCTCAGGATCTTACTGAGATCCCACTTTAATCTGTTGCATGTTAGATTTCTGCTTGGGGAAACACAGACAGACATTTATCCATGTGCTACCACATCCCCAAGCCTACCTCCTCTTGCATCCCTCAAACTGCTGAGTAAGGTCTATGGATGCACCACTCAGGATGCTGAACCGAAGATGCCAACAGATTAAAATCTTGCCCATCTAAGCCAAGAGCTCACTCCAACCCAGACATGACACTCCCTGGCTGCTCTCATTTAAATAACCTTCCCCAGCCACCTGCTTTTGTAAGCCAGGGGTCATTTTTGGCCTTTCTAGGAAAGAACCCAACCTGGTTCATTACAAATGGGGTGGAACAGTAGGTATGGGAAATGACACAGCACTTATCTTCAAGAAACCTCGTTTTTAGAAACTTTAGTCATGAACAAATCCTTATAAACATTATTAGAACACTGTCATTTAAAAAGAAACCCAAGCCACAGACTTGGAGTGGCTCTCATCCATTCAAAGTCACTTAATACCATCTATATCATACCATCTAAATTAATACCATCTACTGCCAGTGAAAGAAATTCCCTTTAAAATCTAACCCCATATTAAACCCTCAGTATGTTTTACAGACTCTTTCGTGTTTTACAGATCAGCTGTCCCCTACATGCTCAGCCTGCTCAGTAGCATCTTAGGCTTCTGTTTTGCACACAGTAAAAGTGCTCACAATAGGACACACACTTCCCCTATAGGGAACATATGTTGAAGTATGGTTAAAGACATTCAACATACAAGCAATTTTACTCTTCTTTTTTTTTGCTTTGGTTTGTTTTTATTTAACCACATTTGAAACGCAGGCGAGTGTGGCCCCTCAGACAGCATTTAAATGACAATGTGCGTTTGATTTCCTTTAAGCCAAAGTTATTCAACACTAAGCATGAGCTGCGTGCACTTTGCTCCCCTCCAGTTTATCTTAATCAGCCTGAATTCAGTCGCCTGCAGGGAATTAAGTCAGAAGCTTTCAGACGCCTCCTCATGCTTTATTTCCCAGCTCCCTGAACATGCTTTAAGTTTGTTTAATCCATGTGCTGCGTAATATCCAAATGCATAGTCTGAGCTATACTGAAGCTGCTAAGAAAACAGCTACTCATTTTCAGGCAGCTGTATGTCTAATGTGCGTCTCTAACACACCACTGATATCATTTAAGGTCCACTGGTGCCAGATTCAAAAAGGTTTCTGTCTCCATGGTCGAAATGGAGCGAGTGCTCAGCAAAGTGTGGCCAAACCGGTGTGCAGAAGCGTACCAGATCCTGCCTAGCTGAGCGCCGCTGGGGCGTGCACTGTAATGAAGCAACTGAGGAAGGGCGGCTCTGCATTGGACATGTTTGCTCAGGTGCTCCTATAACCTCACTTACGGGCAGGGGGCGATGTCCTGATCTCACCACCACGTAGGCGTTGTATTCCCTCCGCTCTCATTTTACCGTCTTCCTTTCCCTTGAGAGAATTTTGCGATGCTGGTGCCTTCCCGAGCAGGGCTGGAGCAGAGCACAGGGAGTTTATAGCCAAATGGCAAGATAAGGGGGGGATACATATATGGAGAATCATCAGAGACCCATAAAGATCCCAGGGATGCAGGAAAAATCTCATTAACTTTGTTATAACAGCAGCTCTCAAAGTGGCAGCTGCATCCACATAATCTCCAGGAAGGGGAAGAGTTGGGAATATTGAATTGCCACGGCTCCTGCATAAGGGGCTTGTAATTCATTGTATTATTTTTATAATCCTCCTTTAAACAAATAATTCTTAAAATAGCCTATGAGAAAAGATAGATTATTATTTGGGATTAATTGCTATAGGTAACGAAAATGTTTTGGAATCACTGTCTGGGAGACCATTTATTAAACCCATTGGGTAATGCTCATTCGGCAATTTACCTGTGTTAGTCCTGCCCAAGCCAGGATAGCATTGAATAAGGGAAAATGGCCTTTAAGACAGACCAAAATCATGACTTTTGGGCACGAGTTGGTAACTGAAACCTGTAAAGTTTAAGATATTTGGATTTGTAATTTCACCAGGGTTAAGCTAAGAGCTCACATGCTGATCTAGATTCAGATTTTCCTGAAATCCAGCCCTTTGGGGTAGGTAAATACAGTTCCTAGCTGTAATTATATCCACGTGTCTGCTTTCTACTAATTGTCAGGTTCAGAATCACATCGTCCCAGTGTTTCTAAGGCACAGCTGTTGATAATCAGTAAAAATATGTTTTGGATCCAATTTATTCCTTATGCAGTATCTGCCTTATTGCATCTAAATTAAAAGCAGACATGAGAACATGCCATGAGTGTTATGAGCACCTGGGGCCACTTTCTGACCTGCCTGCCTCTCCTCCAGCCTGCAACATCACCTGCCCCATGGGCCGTGTCAATGCTGACTGCGATGCCTGCATGTGCGAGGATGCGACCCTCCATGGGAAGGTCTCTCTTGAGGATGGGTCGCCTGCTGCCGATGCCCGGGTCTACCTGCAAGCCAAGAAACTTAAGCTGTTGACAACAGCCGATGATAGGGGCATGTTTAGGATCCCGGGGATCTGTCCTGATGGCAAAAACACCCTTAAAATAAAGAAAGCCAAATACGCAACAGCAATCGTCACCGTGCCTGAGAGCAACAGAAGAAACCTGGCGATCCAAGTGCAGCTGCAGCGATCAGGTAGCCACAATGGGGTTTTACACAGCAGTAAGAGATAAACTCCAGTTTTAGGAGGGGAAGAGTAATGAGATGGCTTTTTCCTCCCTTGCAGGCAAACCCTATGTTTTCAGAAGCCCTGAGGACAAAGCCAGGAGAGTGGGACAGAGTGTGTCGCTCTGCTGTGATGCCCTTGGGAGCCCAGCCCCTGACCGCTACCTCTGGTAAGAAAGTCCAGTCTGATCAGGCAGAAGTCCTATTTGTCCCATGGATTCAATTTGTATCTCCTTACCATCCCCATAAAGGTGGGGTTCTAGCTATAAAACAGCTAAATACGATGGGAACAAATTGCTGCAAATGATGGTGTCCTCGAGGTGTGCAGAGCTGGTGGATCTCAGAGGTGCTGCAATGTCATCTGCTGAGGGACTCAGTGCTAAAACACACAAATAAGAGCTGGAAAACCCTCAGCAGGCAGGACTGGCAGCTGCCAACTGCCAGCAGCCACATCTCAGTACTGCCAGGGGAGGGGGAATAACTTTTAGATGATGCCACCTTGCCAGATTACAAATGGGGAAACTGAGGCAAGAGGCCTGGCAAAATCCACGCAGCAGGATTAAGGCCATGGCTCTGTCCCCTTAACTGTCTGTTCCTGGCAGGTACCACAATGGCTCCCTGCTGGATCCCTCTTTATACAAATACAAAAACAACCTGATTCTGAAGAACCTAAACAGGCACCATTCAGGAGAGTATTTCTGCAAGGCCAGCAGTGCCGGGGGGTCAGCGAAGTCCCAGCCTGCCAAGCTTGCTGTCATAGGTAAGATAAAATGGGCGTGATGCTCTCCAAGCAGCTGGGGAGGCAGAAACCAGGAACTGTGGTACATGTGGGAAAGAAAAATCCCAAGTAAAATATTTAGGGCCAAATTCAAGCATCCGTTAGCAGATAAGCTTGTGTGAGCTGGTTGGGAACCAGATGCTCTCTACAAACTGGAGCTCTGCATTGCAGGTGACCTGCCAAGCTCAATCTGCTGGTTTCAGCAGATTTCTCACTGTATTTGCTGCCTGATGTGAATATTTGTTTGCTTAGGGGCTTTTTCCTAAACCTTGGGAAGCATTTAGTTTCTCCCTAGCCAAAAGGCCAGTCAGCTGCAGAACAGCAGAGGGTGGGCTGGATGGCAGTGGTGGGTAAGCAGGAGCTGGATGCAAACAGCACTGCTCTTAATCAGGTACCTAAAGTGAAAGCTGAGCACCTGCTTTACCAAAACCACCTAACCAAAATGCTGCAAAAACATCTGGTTTGTGGCTTCGAAACCCTCAATAACTCTGAGGGTTTCAGACCACAAAGCAATGACCACAATTCTTTCGTGCTGCTCATTAAGAAATCCTATTCAACAGGGAGACAAGAGGCAGCCTGCGACTCCCAACCCCAAAGCCACCTCATCCGACTTCCTCACGACTGCTTCCAAAAAGCAACAAATACCTTCTACTATGATGTTGGCAAGTGCCCAGCAAAGACCTGTGCTGGGAAGCTGGACAAGGGGCTCCGGTGTAAGGACAACGTTGCCTATTGCTGCGGAGTGTCCAAGATGGAAACTAGAGACATCTCCTGTGATGGGTACACACTCCCCACTAAAGTTGTTGTAGAATGTGGCTGCAAAAAATGCACTGAGACCAAAATAACAGTTCGAGGCAGAGCCACAGCAGCAGATAACGGAGAGCCACTGAGGTTTGGCCACATCTACATGGGCAACAAGAGAGTGAGCATGACTGGCTACAAGGGAACCTTCTCGGTCCATGTCCCAGCAGACACGGAGAGACTGGTTCTAACTTTTGTTGACCGGCTGCAGAAGTTTGTGAACACAACAAAGGTTCTGCCCTTCAATGAAAACGGAGGTGCTGTGTTTCATGAGATCAAGCTGCTAAGAAAGAAGCCCCCTGTTACACTGGAATCCACTGAAACCAACGTGATCTCTTTGGGAGAAATGGAAGAAGATGACCCGATTGCCGAATTAGAAATTCCTCCCAATGCATTTTATAGGAAAAACGGAGAAGCCTACAGAGGCAAAGTGAAAGCCAGTGTGACATTTCTGGACCCAAGAAACATCTCAACAGCTCCTGTGACACAAAGCGACCTGAACTTTGTAGATGAGGAAGGAGATGTATTTCCACTCCGCACCTATGGCATGTTTTCCGTGGACTTCACTGATGAAAAGGGCACCGAGTCTCTTAATGCAGAGGAAGTGAAAGTTCATTTGGATGCTGCTCAGGTGAAGATGCCAGAGCACCTGCAAGAGATGAAGCTTTGGTCCCTGAACCCAGAGACAGGATTATGGGAAGAAGAAGGGGACTTCAACCTGGAGAAAAGCAGACGGCGCAAAAGGGAGGAGAGAACATTTTTGGTTGGGAACATGGAGATCAAAGAAAGGCGACTGTTTAACCTGGATGTCCCAGAGAGCAGACGGTGCTATGTCAAAGTCCGAGCCTACAGAAGTGAGAGGTTCCTGCAAAGTGAGCAGATCCAAGGCGTTGTGATTTCTATTATAAACACAGAGCCAGAACCAGGATTCTCCTCCAACCCCAGAGCATGGGGCCGTTTCGACAGCGCGGTCACTGGTCCCAATGGCGCCTGCGTGCCTGCCTTCTGTGATGAGCAGAACCCCGAGGCCTATGCAGCTTATATCTTGGCGAGCATGGGGGGTGAAGAACTTGAAGCTGTCCCCTCTGCTCCCAAACTCAACCCTAATGCTGTTGGGGTCCCACAGCCATATCTCAACAAGCTCAACTACAGAAGAACAGACCATGAAGACTCCAACACTAAGAAAACAGCCTTCAGCATTAACATGGCCAAGCCAAGCCCTAATTCCCCAGAGGAGAACAACGGCCCTATTTATGCCTATGAAAACCTACGAGAATGTGAGGAAGCTCCACACAACGCTCCTCACTTCAGGTTTTACAGGATAGAGGGAGACAGGTATGACTACAACACTGTTCCTTTCAGTGAAGACGACCTTATGAGCTGGACCGATGACTACCTGGCATGGTGGCCCAAGCCTATGGAATTTAGGGCCTGCTACATTAAAGTAAAAATAAATGGACCCCAAGAGGTGAACATAAGATCTCGGAACATGGGTGGGACGCACCCACGTACCATTGGGAAGCTCTACGGCATCAGGGACGTCCGCAGCATTCGGAGCTCGGAGCAGCGGGATGTGTCGGCAGCGTGCCTGGAGTTCAAGTGCAGCGGCATGCTCTTCGACCAGGACCGTGTGGACCGCACGCTGGTCAAAGTGGTGCCTCAAGGCAGCTGCCGCAGGGAGAGCGTCAACAGCATGCTCCATGAGTACCTGGTGAACCACCTCCCCATGGCTACCAACAACGACACTAGCGAGTACACCATGCTGGCTCCACTCGACCCGCTGGGACACAACTATGGCATCTACACCGTCACCGACCAAGACCCGAGGATCGCCAAGGAAATCGCCTTGGGTAGGTGTTTCGATGGCTCATCTGATGGCACCTCCCGAACCATGAAAAGTGATGTTGGCGTGGGGTTGACTTTTACCTGTTCGGAGAGGAGTGCTGCAGAGCAAAGCATCTTCGAGTCTCAGAGGAACTCGGGCCAGCAGTCCATACTGGTTCTGCCAGGGGAGAGCCCCGCATACCGAAGGCAACCAGCAAGCCGCCGAATCCCACAGAGCAGGATCCCGATGAGAGGTCAGCGTCCTTCTGGATACTAGAGCTGTAAAGGAGCCTCGGTAAAGCTGTTCACACTTGATGAAGTATAATTTGAAAGTAAAACCTACCTGCTAACAACAGAACCCAAAGCTGGTAGGTGTCATTATCTTTGAGACATAATGAAGGTGCACTTTTTTCCTCCACCAGAAAGACATAAGGCAAAAACTGGGGGCCAGTAGCTGTAGTGAGTTTGTGTCTTATTAAATGCATCCATAAAAATCTTCTTTCTGCCTGACATTAAACAGCTTCGTATGATAGCCTAAAGGGAAGACTAAACACATGATTCAATTAAGCCATGTACATAAAACACCCTTCTGTTCTGCATCTGCAGACTTTGCCAGCCCAAGTACCTGTACAGTAGTTGGTAACATGAAAAGGAATAAACTGATTTCCTCATACTGAATTCAACTGCGAGGTTTTGTACTTGAAATGTAAGTATTTTATTTATTTCTAGCTTATTTTAGAATGACTGTATTCCAGCTAAACTGCCAGCAGCTGCACTTCTAAGAACTCACATGCTCAACAGCACGGAGAAGCCATGAGGATTTGTAGGCTCAACATGGATAAAACTAGTTTTCTCTTGCTTCTTGTAGTATTTGACAAGAAAATTCATGCTTTAATGATAGGGTAGGTTAATAAAAAGAGTAATTTTATAACTTTGACAATGCTGTGTTGCTTTTGTGTTTGAAATGCCTGGCCACAACCAAAGAATAACCTGCAGAACGTTTCTGTTCACGAACAGGTCATGGCTTTATCACTGAAAGGCTGACCCTGAGTACGGGTGAGGGGTTTGGTGGGTGGCTGGTGATCCCCCAGGTCCAGGGCTTGGCCATGGTGTGCTGCAGTCAAGGAATATGTGCCCAGTTTGAAATAAGGAGCCAGAAACAGCGCTGAGAAGCGGAGCAGCAGGCCTGGGCAAGGGATTAGGCAGCAGCAGGGCCCCCAGAGTGGGACAAGATGGGGAGAAAAGCGGGCCAGGACACCGCGCTTTGAGGAGCGTAGGAAACCAGGCAATGTAAAGCAGGGCTGGGCAGTGCAGAGACAAGAACAGGATAGGCTTCCCTCCACATTCAGCAGCAGTGAGCACACACTGCTGGGCATGAAACTGCTCTTAGCGGAAGGTACAGATGGCCACAAAAGGGGTCAGGCAGACACTGATCCATCTCCAAGTGGCTGATTAAGTTGCCCTATCAACCTCCCACTACTTTTAGAGAAGAATCAAGCACCTCAACAGCACAGAATTCATTCTGTGTTTACACCCCAACACTGGCAATAAATTTTGGGGTGCAGGCAAGCCTCCAACACCAAAATTTCCACAGAGAGAGATCACAGACAGGTGGGCAGTGCTGCTGCATGAAAACTGGAGTTCAAGCACACACTCAAGCGTGGATTTCCCTTTCCTACCCAACGTCCTCCTATGGGTATGAAGCCAGTTCTCGGTCTATGCTGTCTTGCCTACAAGCCCATCGAGGGCATGGGGAATCTTTCAATTGTATTTAGCAAGCTTCAGAACAGGTTCTCAGGTCTGACATGGGGCATCCCAGGCATTAAAGGCAGAGCTGTTCAGGACTGAGCAGTTATGCAGCCAAAATCATGCATAAAAAGGTCAAAAAGCCCACCTTAATAATGCATGTTTTGATGCAAACTGACAGTTATCAAAAAGAAGCAGAAAAGGAAGAGCTGTGGAATACTCTGGCACATGCTCTTCATACCAGTGAATTTAGACTCTGTGTTTTCTTTTGTGTCTAGTCTGCTGCAAGGGCTTGGCACGAGCTGGGGCCAAGGCAGCCAGTGGGGAGCATCAGCTTGGACCTTCCCACAGAGCTCCTGGCTTGCACTGCAGACTCTCAGAGAAATGTCTCTTCCCTCTGCTCCCCTCCTCCTCTGCAGCCAGCCAGCCAAATCCCAAACTTAGTTTCATCACTTTGAGGGTGAAGTAACACAAATGACTTCTACAGACCAACCCAGGAGATGGATGAAAGCAGGCTCAGGATGTGATCCCTGTGGTGCACGTGGGCTCGCCAGAGTCAAACACAGCAGACCATAGGGCTCTTCCTTTTGGGGAGAAATGTCTGTTTGACAGCAATGAAAGGGTCACAGCTCTACAGCCTGAAACAGCAAAAAGCTCTCCAAGTTTCCCCAAACTGTCCCCCACTGCAGCTTAATTCTGACTTGGAGGAACAAACTCGCTCTGCACTCCCCGAGTCCCTGAGCTCTCAAGAGTAGCCTGCTCGCAGAGCACACTGGATAAAGAGCAGGACAGAGAGCTTTCAAACACAGGTGCTTAAACACTATCAACAGAAAACAACCTTGGCCCAACAACAACCACTCAGTGCTAACACTTTATCATTACTGATGAGCCACCACATCAAACACACAAAGAAAGTTTAGATAGGAGAAAAGCTACAGCAGGTCCTGGCATCCACCACTCACACAAGTTTTATGCTATAGTTCAGTGTCAGTCCTGACTTCCCCAGCTTGTGTTTATGGTCAGTGGACAGCAATGTCCTTTCTGCAACCTGAAACCTAACCCACACCCCCACATACCAAAGGAGAGCATCAGCTGCAGGAATGCTTGAAGGCTTCCACTCACCTCCTCCCTCCGCTTTAGCCTTTGGACCACCAACCTTGAGAAACAGGCTGAAGGAGACCTGGCTCCTAAACGTCAGCAGGTTTGTGGCTAAGGCAAAGCATCGTCCATTAAGGTCTCTCCATTTCCAAGCCTCAGATAAATCTGGTGACCTATCCCTCCTCCTGCTTTTAAGAAAGGGAAAAAATTGCTTCCCAGAAGCTATCAGGCTGTCAGGAGTTAGGATAAACAAAAGGACTAGACTCAACCTTCAAATTATCCAGGGATTTTGCAATCAACTATTTAAAAGCCTCCAGTACTCCTGTGATGAATCACTTACACTTTGGGTTTATTTGCAATTTATTCAGCAGATATCCGAAATAAAGAGGTTTCCTAGGAAGCAGGGGGAGCAGTGACATTTCAGATCATGAAACAGATGCACCTAACAGCGAGTCGCCAGCATCCTAAGAAATACCACTCCAACATTTATTTGAAATCCAAGATGAAGTCATCTCTATCCAACACCAGAATCCTTCTGGTGCCCAAATGTTTTGCAGTTCTACCAGTAATTTGGCTTCAGTGATCTTAAACTGAGCCATACTGGATGCTGGTCTATGAATACCTCCTCTACTTTGCCTCTCATGGCAAAAGGAGAACTGCTTTATTTTGGTATTATCACTTTCCAATTGCTAAGGCGGCTGTACTTGACCTCAGCAGTGGTACTGGGGATTGAATCACCATGTCTATGTTCTAGAGTCAGCCCTGACATGCTATTCCACACCTCATCAGTGAATGCCCCATTTTTGTTTTGTCTGTTCTGCAAAAATAATCAGATTTTGATTACTTACTGAGTTAAATCCCTACAGAGTTAGGTGAGAGCGAAGTTTCCAAAGAGACATTTTGGCTAAACAGCTGCCTGGGGAACTCCAATTCCCCTTAAAGCTTCTCTACCAGGCCAAAAATAGCATGCCAAAGATTTCCTCCATAAAAAAATAAATTCATCTTACCCTTTTTTCCTCCACAAAACAACCAGGGTGAAGTTGTGCATATTCAGAGCTAGGACATTAACTGCTAAGCAAGAACTGTTTAATCTCCTCTAACTTCTTGCATAGAAAGCAATTCTAAGAGGCCTTAAAGAAAACTGTACAGATCAAAAGATTAAGTTACAAGTATAGGTATCCTGGCTACAATATGGTTTAGACATTACTTGGCATTAAACAACTAACTGAAGACATTCTGTACCAGACTTTCTCAATGTTCTGTCCAGCTGACCTTGGTTTTCCCCTAAAAGAGATGCAGTGAGCACCATCTACAGGGTTTCTGAGCACTTCCACCTCAAACTCCACCAAAGACACAGGAAAACTCCCCTGTTGCTTTATGCTTTAGTTAGAACTGAAATAAGCAACTGCCAGCGATGACTAACAGCAACAGATCTCACATGAGGCACAATGTCAGCGAGAGCGTACAAATTGCCCTACAGGTTCTCTCCGATGCTAATACCTAACGCAGACATTGCTGGATGGAAGCTCATATTCCAACTAGGAGCATTAATAACAGCCAGCAGTAACGCTACTTTGCGCCACGTTGTTTTGGAGGTGCAAAGGGTAGACACAAAGCTCTTTGCTATCACCTTTATGATAGTAGAGCAGGTTCAAATAAGCAAGGAGTTAAAGAACTGTCAAAGAATTTTCCTCGAGTCATTCTTAGGAACTAAAAGGTTAATTGAACAGTTTGGTCATCTAAAAACTTTTAACCTCAAATTGCCTGAATTTTCAATACTGAATTTTTTTCTGTGGGGTCACATCTCACTGATCATCTTACTCTGGCCATAACGAACTAGAATTCGTTTTCCAGTGCCTGGGGAGCTGGACATCAGAAAAGTTGGTCCACCCATGCTAACAGATAATTACAGTATTTCTCCTAAGTCCAAAATTCTTTATCATTTGTGCTTAAATTTTCTGTATTATATATATATAAAAATATATATATATAAAAATTGTGGTGTGGGTTTTTTTGTATACTCATTTTTCTGCTAATTCAACTTCTGATACAACCTATGCCCAAGGACAGACCCCTACCATGCAGCTGATTAGTGTCAAAAACCTCACTGTCTATGGGGAAGAGTGTACAGAAAATGTTCTTACCCTCTGCAAACACTGAATATTTGAATCCCAGTGATGCCTACGAGTACTCTTTAAAAATAACTGGTGAAAAATTCCCAGAAGCTTCAGTGGCTAAAACACAAGGCAAGCAGCCATACAGCTGAGCCAGTGGTGTACAGAACCCAGAAAACCTCCAAACCCATCATATACACACAAAACCCACCCACCCACCATCCCTTCCATTGGCATAAGGTGATAACTAACCTTTCATCTGAACAGAGTAAAGGCAAAATGACTTCACACCTTTTATATGCAAGCGGTAGCTGGGAGCAAACCACAAAAATACATCATTTGCTTGGAAACTAACTTGCTAGGTTTATAACTTCTGGATGCACAAGCTCCATCCTTGAGTGTGCAGAGACTAATGGAATTCTCCACAGGACCCCAACTTCCACCTTGCTGTTGTTTCCATGTTTTGACTCTGATTTATAAGCTTGGATTTCTTGGAGTACTGCGTGTTCTGGAAGACCTGTGAGAGGCAGATTAATTGTTGGACAAATGGCAATTAAAAAAAATACTGCAGCACCTGCTTTCACAGATGCTTCTTCAGAAACATTTTAATCCATGTAATAAAGCACATTTTTATGGAGCTTTTGCTTGCTTCCATCCAGTGAGTCACACTCCAGCACATCAAGGTCCCATGAATTCAACATCTGACTTGAGCTTTCAGTTCGACATGGCTAAGTTAAAGCCATTCCCCTTGTCCTGTCCCTACAGGCCCTTCTCAAAAGCCCCTCTCCAGGTTTCCTGTAGCACCTTTAGGCACTGGAGCTGCTCTAACGTCTCCCCTTAAGGAGCCTTTTCCTCTCCAGGCTGGACCAGCCCAGCTCTCTCAAGCCTGTCTCCAGAGCAGAGCTGCTCCAGCCCTCGCACCATCTCCATGGCCTCCGCTGGACTCACTCAGCTCCAGATCCTTCTTATGTCTGGGGTCCCAGAGCTGGATGCTCCCAAGTCTGAACAGCTGCAAAAAAAGCTTTTACTCTGGTAGTATTCAGAAAAAGCAAGAATAAGTGAGCAGACAACACTAAAGCAGCTCCTGAGACATGGCCAGTCTTTGTTCTGCTGTTATCCTCACAGTGCTACATTACTCCTAAGAGTCATCAGTTCAGGGATTCTCCACATGAAATGCTCCTTCTTACACATGCCATTAATCAAAGGCAGGTCGAGGAAAAGCTTGGATCAGATTAACAACTTCTCTTCAGGTAAACACCTCTCCTATCAAAGTATGACAGTAGAACATAAATTTTCATGGATGGATGGCACACAAATATTAACTGGGATGTACTTTCTAGGATATGAAAAAGAGGAGAAGGAAGAGATGGCAAATGATACAATTAAGTAGGAAACATATGTTATCAATCAGAAAAGCTAAATATACCAAAGAAAATGATCTACTGAGAAGGTGAATTATAAGTTTTTAGAAACAGAATGAAAAAGATTAAAACAAGAGAACTATCACGGACAGTAAAAAATTCTCTAGATGTTCCCAATTAAGGCTTAAGTTATTCACCTCAATGCAAGGATACCAAGGCAAAAAAAAATTAAACTAGATAATCTAAGAGTCTCGTTAAGCACTGAACTGAATTCCAGAGCAGCACAGGATTTCAGTATTGCCAGACTGAAGTAACTGTGCACAACTTGCACCTGAAGAAAGCCCTTAAAGAGAAACTGAAAACCTTGTATAAAAATAAATTTATTGCTCAACAGCGGAAACAGGGATTTATGTACTACCTTCAACACTCAGAGATTCTCTTTCTTTATGGAAGAAACAGAAATAAGTATCTTCAGGAGCCCACAACGAAAAAATGCAGATGACAGCAAGATCAAACACTCTGGGAGGAAAACTTAAAGTTCAACTAAGCTGAACATTATAGGTAGGCACCGAAATATTTTATATTACTATTAACTTACAGACATCATCTCCCACATTTTAAAATACATCTATTGCTTAATATTCTGTGACAACATTTCCCTCTCTTTCAGAGTCTTTTTTGTCCTGCTAAGTTTGAGTGTTTGAAATCTGCATTCCTGATGAACTGCTCTTGACTTCTGCTGGAACCAAGAGTGCATATATCCATTGTAGAAGTCAACTGCTGTAAGCTTCTTCTTTAATACGACTGCTTTGATTCCAACCCAGCCTTCCTAAAAGTAAAAACAAACAAATGGCAGCAAGCTTCTTCCATGGTTTTAAATTCTCTTTAGCTCTCACTAGGCTGACTTGCAGCATACATTGTATTTAATGGCATCAAATTTATATTGCAAGTCAAATTCTTGCCTGTTAGTGGAAATTAGAAGTTCTTCAAGATACCAAATAAGATAACTCATGGTAATCTGAACTAGCTCAGTGAGTAATAACGGACAATTAAGGCAAAAATTGTGTAACACACAAATACTAAAAACTTTGTCCATAGGGCAGTGAATATAAAACAAATGGGAAGAACCTACCTTGCAACGAGCTATCAGCGTTTGGGATGCTTTATGGTATAGGAGTGAACCAGGAACAGCTCCACAGTCATTTAATGTTTGATCTAAAAGCAAAGCAAGATTGACCTGCATTTTTTTAGCACCAAGTACAAAAAAGTTTGAAACACTTTTGTCTCTTTGAAGCACAATAACCATCTCGAGTCACTGCTTTGCTCAAAAATATTTTTGAGCAAATTATATCCAAATGAGCAGGGGAGAACCAGAACAGTCATTCTGACACTGCTCCCTATCTGATCCAGAAACAGTCCTTGTGAGAGATCCCCAGACAATGGTGTTAGAAGAGGCTCTCCTAACTAATTAGAGGATTAAAATCCTCCAAATCTCAGGATTCACAAGGCTATACCTGCTGCTTACTCAACATCACAAAGCAGGAATGTCCTTAAAATCCATTTTATGCTCATCTTTGGGCACAGAAACTTACTGCCCTCTGAGCTTACATAAGTCTGACTTTGCCCTACTGGAGTTTCAGAAAGCAGTACTCAAAGCTATTGTTTAGTACAACTGCATATGATCTCCAAGTCAATGTTCGAGAAGACAGGAAAACGTAACTTAAATTAACTTCAAACTAAATACCAGCAAAACCAGGGATGTCATCCACTTCCACAAAATCCAGAAGTTTAACTGTAGTTCCCTTCCACAGTGTCTGCAAAGGAAACTGGAAAGAGAAGCAGATGACACACTGAGAATGCTTTCATGACGTCCATGCAACTGTCTAGTCTTTTAATTACCTGTGACACTAGGGGAAAAATTTAGGTCTATGTCCAGATAAGAGACTTTCCTTATTATACCCAGTTCTCCTTGTTCTCCCTCATCTCAATGACAAGCAAATCATAAGCATATGCAGTAATTAGTAATGCAACTAGCTACTACAATTGTTTACGCAGGCTGTTTGCACTGTTTACTGTCATGCAAAGATGTCATGATAGCCTTCTGGAACCCTCTCAAATGCATCAGTAGAAATCTCAGAGCTAAGGAATCAATACAAAACTCTGGGCTGATTTCACACTTGGAATCAAGTCTATGAAAATTCTCCTCTACACTAATTCTACTTCTAATGCTAAACTATGCTGGGATTTTAGAACATATGATGGGTTTAAAAGGCTGAAATAACTGAACTTGAGCTTAGTCATTAGTTAAAATACCCACACCAAACTCACACATGCTAGATAACAGAAGAGGGTTAAAAAAATTCTACTGTCTTACCATACTTCCTATTGCATGATACAGTTGAATTACTTGTGCAGCCGTTTGCTCTTCCCATCTTACACAGCTCTTAGCTATAGATATTTTAGGAGCTAGAGAAAAAAAAATAATAGAAGACTTCATATTTTGTTTTGCATCTTTTTGCAAACAAATAGCTGTACCATTTTATCCTGTTTTAAACCCAACTTCACCCTGACCAATGGTAAATTTACCTCTAGCCATAGGTACCTTAAACAACAACTGGAGAAAAGATTCCCTAAAACTCTCCTTTTGATTATTTATACTTTATTCTCAGTTGTCCTCTTATTTATCCATTGTAATGCAAACTGGTAACATACATTTAGAAGCACAGCTGAACACTTTTGTCTGTGTTACAACCACCAAGAATAAACTCAGGTTTTGTAACATCACTCAGGATTCTGATATTGTAATGGACAACTGGAATAAAACATTAATGCAGGAAGTCTGAAGAAGAAATCTCAAGCTTTTTGCCCTCTGTACAATTTGTTTAAGCCAGAGAAGGCAATGGAGAGACAATATTGAGAAAGGTATCTGAACAAAATATAACCCAGCACCAGAGGAAGAAACTTAAGTCTTCCAGCTGATAAAAGACAAAGTGAACAAGTTGCATTAAATATGATTTGTACCTACCAAATGTTACACCTTCTTCTGGCTGTTCTTTTTTATTTTTCAAACTTTCAGGCAGGTTTCTCAGAACTGATATCAGCTGTAAAATCAGATTTTGTACAGAGCATTAGCAAAGTTGAGAACAGTATACTTATTAATAGTATACTACTAGTACCCACTTTTTCATCAGTGGAACTTTCATGTGAGCTTTCAGACAACTGGATCGGTTTATTCAGAAGGCTTGTATCATACACAGAAACACACTAAAGGCTTCCTTCCCACTGAATCACAATTAACCCCCCCGCCCCGAGCATTATTTTATGGCTGATCTCCTCTCCGATATTAAATCGGAAGAGGACAAAATCTGGGACTACTGAGACAAAAAAAGCAGATATTCACTTAAATGAAAGACAAAACTGCACCATTTCCATACAAAGTCATTGAGTTCTTCACAGAACAGAGGCATACCAGCAAGGCACAGGATGAACACTGACAGTGTATCACACACCATGCAGCTTTTCTCTCAGCAAGGCAAAGTGCTCACAAACACCAAGTTTCAGATCACTCTCCTCTTAACAGCTGCAATCAACTCAGAGCAAGATTTAGAAGAATGACTTTTACACATGTTAAAAGCAAGGTGCTAATGAGAACCGACACTAGCTTGAGCTTGCATGACTTTACCATGTTTGCACCCATCTTTGATAATACCACTTCCAGTTCCTTTGCAGTACAGCGGGGAGGAACAGCAAACTCTTCTTGCTTAATAATTGGACCTACATCAAACCTGTAAGGCAAAAACCATACAAGCTTACTGGAGAAGAAGCTATAACTCCACCAGCAGTTCAAAACTCTACGTTCAATATGTTAACTCAGTTACTAAGTACCCTTTCTTTTCCCTCCCCTAAAACTTTGTTTGTCACACAATATCAAACAATGTTTAGTTCACAAAACAACCCAGGGAAAAAAGTATCAGATATATCTTGGCAAGCAAGATTCACCTCAGCAAGCTGAGCTTGATATGAACACATGATTTACAGTTCAGAAGCAGAACATCTCAGAAGAAACAACCTGAAGTATTCAGAAGAAACTAGTTTCAAGCTTTCCTGAGATCTATTATGAGACAAACATCTAAGAAAGAAAAGTTAACTGTGATAATGTGTTTTCACAAGCCTTTTAAGCCAGACTCTGTGCTGAAACTAAACCATGTAATTTCTCTCTCATCCCAAAACAGGGAACTGCTTGTCCTCTGTTTCACTTACAGGATGTTACAGGTGACTCTGAGCTCTGGAAACCAGATCTTTCCCATCACATCATACCAAGCCTATCCATCTGGCTGTGTGACTGACTGCTTTCACTCTGCTGCCTGTAACAATGCTAGAAATTAGAGAACAGGCCTAGAGTCTGGAGTGCAAATTACACACTCACTGAAATACTGTATCTACGTCAAGTCTCACATGGTCAGATGAAAGTTTAAGTGTTTCAACTTCTAATATTAAACACACACATAAGAAAAAAAGTGACTACAGAATGATTTAAATGGTGATTCAAGTGGTGATGATTTGAAGTCCTGAGAAACCACAGAAGCTTTTGGGAAGCACATCTAACCTACCTTTTTGGTCTTATTTCCATAATTGTCACCCCAGTCACTTTATCACCATGAAGCACTGTGTGGATTATGGGTGCAGGACCACGCCATCGAGGGAGGCAGCTGGGATGGACATTCAGCACGCCACTGAATTAAAATGTTTTCAGTTAGAATAGGAACAGTACCTGAAGCACATGTAAATGGGTGTGGGACATTTATTACACTGAAAATGCTTGAAGAATTATCTGCTCAGACCTTTTGAAGTGCTACTGGTTTAAACATACCTACATAACCTTCAGTTTCTTAGTGAATGCATAAAGAGAGATGAAAGGAATAAAAGTAAACATATTACACCAAACATTTGCATAGGCCTCCATCAACATGTTAAAGGACAGTGAACCTGACAACGACAGAAGCAGGGCTCAAGCTAAGCAGATGAACCCAGGTAAGAAGCTGACCTCATCTGCTACGAATCACAGGTGCCGAGTCAAAACCTAAGGAACGGAGCAGCAACAGCTGTCCTGTCAGCTCACGTACTATGGGAACTGCAGAATAAGCTCCTCGCTCAGAAGACGCCCAAATGATGCCACCACACCCACATCAAACTGCCCCGCAGGGCCGGTGTGGGGCCACTCATGCACAGGCAGCTGGAGCTCCCGGGCGCAGCTCCTCACAGGCAGGTCCCCGGGCAGGCGCGAGGGCAGGGTCACCACCTCCAGCCTGGACACGAGCGAGTCCTCGCTGGGCTCCCTGGGGAGGACAAGGCACTGAAGGGCTCATGCAGGCAGAGCAAGGCGGAGGCAAACGCTGGGTCGCCTCCACCCCTCGCTGTGGCCTCCCCAGGACCTCCTCCTACCCCCTTCACTGGCCCCATACCCCTCACCACCAGTGGTTTCCTCCTTTCAATCCAAACCCCAATCCACGTCCCCCTGCCCCCTTGTGATCCCTCTCAATCAACCCACTCACGACGCCAACGCCCCTGTCCCAGCCTAAGGCCCCATCCTTTCCTCTCCCCTACCAACCGCTGCCCAAACCCCGATCCCTGCCTCACGCCGACCCCGGCTCATCCCGCGACAGCCCCTGAACCACCCCAGCACCCCTTACCTCCCAACCCTCGGTGCCCAGCCCCCCCTCACCATCCCCAGCCCTCAGTCCCCGGCCCCCCGCACAGTACCTGGCCTCCTGCAGGGCCCGCAGCGCGGTGACGGCGAAGCGGTCGGTGCCGAAGAACAGCACCCGCCATGGCGGCAGCGCCGCCTTCACCCCCTGCCGCCAGGCCCGCAGCAGCCGGCCCCGCATGGCGGCGCTTCCGGCGCACGGCGATGCCGCCAGCAGGAGCGCGGAGCCCGCCTCGGGGCGGGACGGAACCGCCTCCCCTCGGGCTGAGGCGGCGGCGCCATCTTGGTGCGGGGCGGTGCTAGGGAGGAGGCCGCGCTTAAACCGGTCTCGCAGCCCGGATTGGGTTTCCAGCGCTGGCTTCTGCCTCTCCACAGCGTCCGCGCTGCCCGGGAGAGCGTTCCCCGCCGCGGTGGACCCGCAGCCTTGTCCCTGCTGACCGAGAATTGGCCGCTCCGCCTCAGTGCGGAGATAAGGGCAGGCGGGGGTGTTGACACCGCAGGCACTGAGCCTCCGCTGGCTCCCGCTCAAGCTCATTTGTGTGTCCGCCTCTGGACTGCTTTGTTTTAACAGTGATTGTAACTTCAAGAATGTTTTCTTGTAAACTCAGAATAACCACTTAAAAGAACTGCCTTCTCCCATAAGTATGGAAGTATTTTATCACTCTAAGAACATTCTTCCCACCCATGGGAAGATGGGTTGTGTCGCTCTCCATTTCGTGTAAATTCCATGCACGAATGCCCTATGCATTTAAATCTCCCTGTAGCCTATGGCCTTTGACAGTGGGAATTTGTAAAACATGGAATGTGAGAAATCTGGGAACAGTTTCAGGAAAAACATGGAAATTACTTGGAAACTGGATGGCAATTGAAGTCAGACTGATACAGGAGGGTAGATCTCAGGAAAGGGAGCTCTTGCCCTGTTCAGCAGCACTGTGCCATTCATTCCCTTTTGCATGTGTTTTGCTCATCATTAGGGATTTCTTCTCTCAGATACAGAAGGTGCCTCTGCTTCCAGTGGTAGAAAGAAAGGAGAAATGAGAAAGTGCTGTTACAGGTAACAAAAAATGAGTAAATGAGTCAGGATATCCTAAATGAGGTGCCTGTTCTGCACCCTGAGAAGCAGAGGGTACGCTAGCAAAACCTGGGGTATTTCCTAACCCGGTATCAGGATGTAAAAATCAGTTGGTCCAGAAAACATCATTCTCTATTACATGCGGAACGCCATGGAAATCCTCACTTTCATCATGTACAGGACACCGCTAAGTTCCAGACAGCACTTCTTGAGGTGCATAGATGAAAGGGTATAGTCAAATATAAACAAGCGGGTAGCAGGGATGAAGGAATGGCTGCTGCTTGAGAAGAGACTGAAGCAACCAGCACAGTTCATGTGCGGAAGCAGAGATGAGTGTCTTATCACAGATGCTACGGAGCTGGTAAACAAGGAACAATTAGTCATTGCACAATCACCGAGTGCTTACAGGCACTTACGGGCATCAGGCCCCGAAAGAGAAAGCAGCGTTGCACACAGTGTGTGATTTCATAGAACCATAGAATAGTTAGGGTTGGAAAGGACCTTAAGATCATCCAGTTCCAACCCCCCTGCCATGGGCAGGGACACCTCACACTAAACCATATCAAACAAGGCTCTGTCCAACCTGGCCTCGAGCACTGCCAGGAATGGAGCATTCACAACCTCCCTGGGCAACCCATTCCAGTGCCTCACCACCCTAACAGGAAAGAATTTCCTCCTTATATCCAACCTAAACTTCCCCTGTTTAAGTTTTAACCCGTTACCCCTTGTCTTGTCACTACAGTCCCTAATGAAGAGTCCCTCCCCAGCATCCCTATAGGCCCCTTCAGATACTGGAAGCTGCTATGAGGTCTCCACGCAGCCTTCTCTTCTCCAGGCTGAACAGCCCCAACTTTCTCAGCCTGTCTTCATACAGGAGGTGCTCCAGTCCCCTGATCATCCTCGTGGCCCTTCTCTGGACTTGTTCCAGCAGTTCCTTGTCCTTTGGTGAGAACCTAGTATCTCATTGAGGTGAGATATCTCAGATGCTGCAAAATACCCGTGGTTTCCCAAAGCAGACAGCGCAGTTGCTGGTTGAGTTGGAAGGAGATGTCCTGTGTGGTGCTGGTGGATACCAGCTCGCTGAGGTCTTGGGTAAAACCAGCACATCAGAAAGGCCAGGGATGTATCATGCATGTTTGTATGGCCCAAATGCCATCCAAAAGCGGGGAATTTGAACCCGGCATCCAGCTGCTGCTCACTGGCAATTTCCAGGTATCAGATCCTGGCCTGGGAGGCATTGAATGTGTCAGTGGCACATGGGCACCAGGTGTGGAGCTTCTGCTGCTCACCAGGGGACTGAAGCCCTGGAGAAGGATTCCCAGTTCTGGCAGGATTAAAGCTCCTGGAAATACTGAAACTCTGTGCTGAGTTTTTGCCAAACTTACACATGAAATAATTAATGTTGCATTTATGAAGTGGACTTAAATTCACTCCAGTATATTTGCTCCCAAGTAATCAATGCTCTGATGTGACTGTTCAAACAGATGACAGCTATTATTTAGTATTGTGCCTTGGACACATGAATTTTTGCCTGAAGCTTTATTTCAGTGTAATTTTTTCAGCAGAATGAAAGCAACAATCTGATTCACAAAAGAAAAACATAAAGCTCACAAATCTTGCTTCCCTGCTGCGTTTGAACTCTGCTTTTGTACATGGAGACAAAAAAAATCCCCACAACCCTGCATGTTTAGTTATTCTGTAACCAGGCATTTCAGGTCAAAGACACAGAAGGGATCAAAAGAGATAAGCAAAACTAAAATGGCAAGGTCAGAGACGTGCTTCCTAAGTGTAGTGAAGGCAAATCCAAGGAGGAAGCGGAACACCAATCAACGTCCTATCTCCACTTTGCTTCCTAGCCAAAGACACTGAAAGCGTCTCCAAGAAGTAAAAAGATCTCTCCCATGAAAGAGTGCCAGCGTTGTCAGGGGAAATAACGAAATAAAACATTCACAGCCTTTACTGAAGAGATTGTCCTGAGTGTGTTTGTGCTCCTCTGGAGAAGGAAAGCATTACTGGGTGCAAGGCACAACTGTAGTCAGTGGGAAACTGGGTTTATTTAGTGGTTTCCCACACGGACCCCTCTTCTGCAAACAGCCCAAAGGCAGGACAGGACCCAAAAAGCCACTGCGGAGCTGGAAGGTGCCTGATGTCCCAGGGGCTGCAAGCACTCTGTCACCTCTGGTTAGGTTTCTCCACTTGGTTTCAGAGGCTTCAGTTTAGGGCAGTGTGGGTTACATGAACTGTATGCAACCCATATAGTTACATACATGTCCAGCTTCCACACAGCAGCTGGAGAAACTTCCCATTTTTCTTTTTTAAATATAGATACATAAGTCAAACCATGTAGGAAATTGGGATTGAAAAGGGACCTCTGGGGGCTTTGCAGTCACCCTCCTCTTACAGTCACCTCTTCACCAAGTGTAGCATCTCCATCCCTTTACTCAGAGACTGCACTACAGGGGCCAGGCATTTTCATTACACCCTTCTCAGAGGCAGTGAGCCAGAGGGTTTGGGTTTGTAGCTTGTGAGACCATCACTGTACCCCATCCCTGGCACTTAGTCACAAGGACACTTAGAGAAGCATTCCCTGAAGTGATGGCACTTTTTAAATCATCCAACTTGAGGAGGAGGGACAGCCCGAGTTACGGCATGGTGTGATGTCCTGCCTTGACCTGCCTCCCCCAGCAGAGAGGAGCTCTTGTTTCCTGAAGGATGCATTTCTGGGTGTTAGCTCCCATCCCATCGCTGCCAGGCTGACACTGAACAGTAAAACATCTCTCTCTGGGGAGTGTGTGTGTCTGCTGAGTGAAATTTCACAGGAGCAGCCAGAGGAAGCTCTGAATTAGATGTGAGATGGGATTCAAAGGATTAATCACCCTGGAACATGGCTTTGGTGCCAAAGATGCTTTATTTCAAGCTGTAAAATACCAAGAACTTGACAAACGTAAGGATACTGTGCCCATCTCTGATTAGCCTTAGCTAACCAGTGCTAGCTGTGTGCTCCGAGCCTGTCACTGAGAGATACCTAGCTTGCTCTGCAGTATGCAGCTCCAGCCATGGATCAGATAGTTCAGGGAGGAGGAATCCTCCTTCCCCAGTGTGGCTGGCTCAAAAAGCCTTGTGACACTGTAGAGCCTTTCAGCAGGCTGTTGACTTAGCCAGCTGTTTCCAGTACCTGCAAAACAGGGATGGCAGAATGTCCAGTGGGTGCTTTGCTTGCAAAGTCAGTCACTCTTGTGAGATGGCTCTGAGAGCCTTAGAATGACCATTCACTAAAAGACAAAAAAGGGCTTTATCAGGACATGCTTCCTTTCCGCAACGAGGACAGAGCCAGGCAGAGTGAACATTATCATTTATTTTAACCACAGGGTAACGTATTACTGAGTGTCATTCTACTCCGCATGCTCTCTTAATACTGATTAGGCCAATAGCTTGAGCAAATAAGCTGGAAGTTCCTATGGTTCATTCTTTGGGAAAGGTCATTCACCTCATGTAAATGGACCCACTAAAGAGGTGTGTTTTTTTTTCCAGGGGCTGGAGTGAACCTCACCTGTTGGACTGGCCTTCAGACATGACTCAGGAGCAGAATGAATCACAGCTCGTAGTGTACCAAGAGTAGGAGGAAAGGCAACCTTGTCACCGTGGTGAGGCACTAAAGACTGCTTGGAGGAGACATCTTCAGACAGCAGGGCTTAAAGAAGAAATGTAGCTTCCTCTCTGCTGGAACAGCGTGTTTCTGGTGAGTTAGCAGAGATGAACGGACATTCCTGCTGCTGGGTTAATTTACAGCTATCTGTAAAGAAAGGCTTCTTTATTTCAGTTAGAAATCTGTGCACATTTTAAGCAAAGGCTGTATAACTTGTTTAAGGAGAGACTGAATGGCAAGTGAGAAGCAGCCTGGAAAGCAGTCAGATGAAAATATTTCCTATAACTCAGGTTTGCTCTTTAACTTTTGACTTTACAAAGGTTAAAAGTTAGTGCAGATTGCCTTCTTGCTCTGGTATTTTAAATATTAAACATTTCTCTTGTGTTCTTTAATTAAACTCAGTTCTGAATATGCCTTTATAAACCAACCCATCCATTTGTATCTCCATGGTGTGCCATTGTATATCCTTTATGAATCCCAAAGGCAGGTCATCCCACTTTTATAATGACTTTGGAATAACTGATGCATTTTAACACAATCAGTATAAGATAGCCTCCAGAAAAAGAGTCTGGATGACAAGAGGAGACTATTTTACAAGGACTGGGGTGTTATAAGTGCATTGTCCCTTATTGCGTAGTGAGTATTGAGTAGGGAGTCCAGAGGCACATTGTCATCTTAACAGGAGACATTTTTCCTCCATCTTTACTCATATCAATATAATAAGTATCCCAAGACTTCTCATTTGTAGAGTGAGGACAACATCTGGCTTGGTAAGAACCATGAGTATTAGACCTGATAAAAAACAATATACAATGCACATGGTAGTTTCACAGCACCATGTAATGTGCTCTGGCTGGAAGGAATCCACATGCAACTGGTGACGTGTGTTATGCCAGCCTTTAGAGCACGATTTAAGTGCTGGGGTCGATATGTAGAGCAAAAAGCAGCCACTTGCTATTTTAATGTATTTTCTTGAGATTCTGTTGGATGCCACCAAAGTCCACAGATCCTGGTTTTGAACAGCTGGCGTTTGCGAGTGACTGTGTTCCTGAAGTACACACAGCACGCAGATTTTGTGGCTTTTGATGTGAAAATCCCATGTGCAAAAAGAAATTACAAAATTGCTCAGGTGTAAATGTAAACTCAACACAGGAAAAGTGTTTCTTTGAGAGATGCTGGGTCTTAATTCTATCTGCTTCCTTCCATAAAGGCATACAATGTATGAGTTTTCTCTCATTTTTGCTTCCTATGATGTACCCAAGCTGGGAAGCAACCTCAGAAGGGTCTTAGGTGTCTTCAGAGGTCTAGAAGACCAAAGTCTGCAGCTTAGAGTTGTCAAAGAGCTGGATCTAGGTGCTCATCCCTATCCAACAGCAGCCAGAGTGACTGCTGAGATGTGTGGGCAGGGAAGCAATGGAGAAGACATCACCCACAGTCTCTCAGCTTGTTTAGTGGAGCAGTGGTCTCCTGCACCAGAATGTGGGCAGTGGGGAAGAGCCACTGTGTGGTGGAAGCTGGAGGGGATGGCCTTAAAAAACTCTATTTCAGGCTGAAAGATCTAAAATCTGTTGGGACTTGCTCTTTCCGTACTGGGGAGCCTGGAGGTGCAGGCAGAATTCTGGATCCTGCTCAGGCTCTCCACTGGGGTAGATACATTGGCCTAAGAACGCTTTGCTTTGTAGCTTTGATGAATGAAACTTCCAAACTAATTTGGTCATTTTTATGCAGATGTTTAAGATCTTTAAAATAACGGGGGGGGGGGTCCCTTAAAGTCTTTTACCTAAATTTCCTGTTAAGACACAACAAATATCCGTTCTGCTACTGTGTTGTACCTGAGAAGCTCCATTCTGTGGAGATCTGTCGGTCACTACTTTATGAAGTAGAGAAGTACCTCTAGCAGCTGTGTAGCATCCCTGCTGTGTGTGCCAGCTTTAGTGTGGACACCAGGAGGTGGCCCGCAAGTTATGAAACACCTTAGGAGAAAATCAGCAGCATGCATGTCAAATATTCCTGTTGGAGCAAATGGTTAGACAGGAGCTTTGCACAGCAAGATTTAGCACATTCGAGTGGCACCTTCTTACTAGGGTGTAGTAGACTTGTAACTTGATTTCATTGGCACCATAACTTTATTTCCTCCTTTCTGAGGACTGAAAGGAGTGAATAAGCTAAAGGTTACTTGGACAGCAAGGTAATTGGCACAGCTAACTGCAGGGAGCAGCTTTACCTGTGTTTTTTGAAATACAAAGTGGACCATGTATTTGAGAGTCCTCGAATTGCTCACAGGTGGTTTTCTGGCAGCAGGGAGCAAGCCTGCATGCCTGTTTGGCTATAAAATGTGAACTTTGAATTGTGAAGACACTGGGGGGGGGGGAAATAGTAGCAATCATTAGGTCTATAACCGACAGGACAAACGCCTCCCTGAGGAGTCAGCAGCAGTGTTGTTGACACGCCTGGCACAGTGGAACATGCTTGGGAGTGATTTGCAAGGAAGAGTTTCAGACAGTGCCATGCTATGAAGGCAGGTAAAAGTTGAGAGTATCAGTTGTAAAAGTCTTAGTCTTCATATAGTAATTAATGGTCTGTGAGGCCAGCACGTCTGAGGGGGACACGTGTGTTGTAGTGTCATTCACCTGTGAGTGGGTGGTGGTTCAGGTGAGGCCAGTGAGCGGTGGTGGAGCACTGGGGAGAGTCAGCCAACCATCTCAGACTAACAGTGCACAGAGGGGAACCCTCTGCTCAGGTCAGGTCCCTCCAAAGGAAGCTGAAGTTGGGCAAGCTGCCATAAAAGCTAGATTGATGCCACTGACAAATGAGGGACTAAAGGTCAGGGAGGAGCTTTCTGCTTCTCTGAGGGATGTGAGATACCTTTGCCTCAATGGCATGCTGGCTTTTCCTCCTCTTGGAGCTGAGCCCACCAATTCCTCCTCTCCACACCCTTATTTTGCCGTCCCTGGATTGGCAGCAGGTAGTCACTGTCCATGAAGTGTATTCTCTAAGGATTGTGGCAGGGAAGCAAGGAGAGAAAAGGGAGGTTAGTTGGGGAGGGGCTGGCTTACAGCAGCTGAGCTCACATCTGCGCAGTGTCAGCTAGGCAAGGGGCCAAACCACAGGCAGCAGACCCACTCTGCTGTCACCTCAGGGGCTCCCAGGGTGTCTGCACCGTGTCCTGGCAGCTCAGACTCACATTCACAGGAGAAAGCAGATGCCACAGCTGCACGGGTACATCAGGTCTGAATACAGAGCTGGAGCAAAGAGGGGAATCAGCATGAGCACAGTCATTTAAAAGATCATCTCTACTTGTGATTTAGTCTCCTTTCATCTGTTGTAGACGTTAGAGGAGAAACATGCTGGCCTGCTGTCTCCAGTACCTCTGAGTAATAATCTGTGTAACTTTCAGGGCTCCCACTAATAAAAGCAGTGGCACTGTATGGTGGGAGCTAGCAGAGGTTACCTTACCCCTCACCTCTCATCCCTTTTTCTTTGCCAGAGATCTGCTCACTGAAGAAACACTGGTGAAGGCATGATCCACCCCAGCATACATACAAATATGAAGCTTTTCTGGATAATCCCATTTTTCCTGCTGCAAGGTAGAGTCTTACCTTGGTGGATAATGGTGTGGGTGAAGCAGGGCACACATGCTGAACTGTAATGCAGAACCTTCTCCACTTCTCAGTGCATGAGATAAGGTTGTGCCCTTCTGGCTGTGTCCTGCCTGCTTGAAGAGATGCACTGGGCAGCCCTGGGAGCCAAGGGAAGGCCATTTCTAGCCTGAAGTACTGCAGCATACAGCCATTGCATCTTTCTGCTCTTTTCCTCTACAGCCAGCGCAGAGCAGGACATGGATGTCCCCACAGCCCTTGCCAGCACAGGCGTGTATGATCACACAGCAGATGTAACCCTTGTGCTCGGTATAGGTCAAGAGGAGCTGGAGGAGCTGCTCTGGTTCTTCCGCACAGAAGACTGTAAGTCCCATTGACATTCCTGAGTTGAGAGTTGAAACAGAGACAGACAGTCCTTGGCTGTTAACCCTTCTCCTAATGGAGATGCCAAAGGGAATTACCTGAGGATATGATTTACCCCAGGTATATAAACCCTCAGTCTCACCTCCAGAAGAAGCATGGGTAAAGACAGGTATGAGGCTTTGCTGTCTCCTCCCAGAGTGAGGTTCAGCCTCTTTCCAGGTACAGCTTGCTAAGAGGGCAAAGGTCTGGGATGACCAGTGATTTTGGCAGGGTAGAGGGAGCAGGTTGATATGAGCAGGTCAGTGCCATGAGGATCAACTTCAAAGCCACAAAAATCAAGGGCAGGGCATCTGCTGCCATCAGGGCTGAACACCCCAGCCTATGTTCAAAGGCAAAATCTAGCCACCCAGGTGTGTAGCAGTGAGAAAACCTGCAGAGCAGAGGGGCCCTTCTAGCAGTGCTCTTGGTGGTCCACTGCAGCTTCCAGCCTAGCTCCCAGCCTGGGATATGGCTGAAGCCATGTGTGGCAGATGTGGCCAGCATGAGAGCTGCAGAGCTGGAGGTGGGGGCTGTGAGTGGCACAAAGCAGTTGTGTAAGCCCAGGGAGGGAGAGTTGCCTGAGGTTGTCCCCAACAACGTGACCCGGGTGCTCTGTTCTGGGTACTGAGTTTGACACAGGCTTCTCTGCCCTCATCCTGCAGCCAAACCATGGCCCTCTGAGCTTGGCTATCCTTGGAAAAGGCCTGGCTGGGCTCCGCAGGTCGCACTCCTCTGTGCATGCTAACGCTGCCTCTCTGCTTTTCCCCAGCATCAACATGGAATTACTCCGTCCTTGCACTTTCCTTTGTGGCCATGATTTTGGGCCTTGTCCTTCTGGCCCTTAATGTTACACGGAACAGGTGAGACAGGAAAATTTGGGTGTCTTTTGGTGTGTGGTGGAGTGCTGAACCCCCCCAGCAGACAGGGATTGGCAGAGCAGGGCAGGACAAGCCCTGAGTGATGGGGAGAAGAGCAAAGACAAACTCCCTTTGAACAGAGCTTCGTTGTAAAACCTTGCCTGACTCCCCGTTCTCCTTGTGTGTTGCTTGGAATGAGCCCCTTCTCCAGGCCACGGATCCTCAGCAGTAAAGTGCCTGTGACAGCTCTGCCCAGCGCAGCCAGGCTGCTGGGAGGGAAGGAAGGAACATTAAATGCATGGTGTGAGGTGCTCCCCATTTGAGGGGCTCTGGAGCAGGACTCCCCAGCCTTGCCATCTGCATTCCCATAATGTACCTCTGGGCTGTACTGCTGTGCAACAGTCCCGCAGCTGAGGAGCAACTCGCTGTTTTCTACAGCAAGAGAACTTACCTCTGAGTCAGCTTCCATTTCCAATGAGAGACAGAGAACTGATGTCCCAAGTCTGCCACGCTTGTTCAATGATGGTTTACTGGCTGTTGCTGCCTCACCGTGGTGTGCTGTGTGTTCTCCAAGTGTAAACCCGCAACTCAAACACCACAGACTTAACACAGTGCAGCTGGTTTTCCCACAAGCAGCTGCTGTGTTCCCAAAGCCAAGGTGTGAAGAGCTTGATGGAACCATCTCTGCAGGTAGATATTTACCCTAGATGTCTGCTGGGCTTGCTGCTTCACTCCATGGTTCCTTTCTCTCCCTTCCCTGCAGGAAAAGGAAGAGCCACATGTGCAGCACAGCAGGGCAGACAGCTCAGCAGGCGGAGCTGGAAGCCAAGCAAGCCCTGGTCCCTGTGGAGGAATGCAGCCCGACTGAGCTGCGGAAGGAGGATCCAGTGCCCCAGGATCAGAGATCAGGAGAAGTCGTGGTGCAGTGGAAGGATGGGACCGTCACGTCTCTGTACACAGAGAAGTCTGAAGACACTCTGTAACAGCAGCTTTAGTCCAACCATTCAGGCCCTAAGGAACGTATCAGAATGTCTTGATTCATAGTGATGGGAGTTTAAAACCACAGTTTAGCCTGCAAAAACAAACGAGAATAAAAAGCAGCAGCAGAGCTGCACCCCACAAGTGGCTCTGGACTTGCAAACCTGGGCCTCCCCGGTTCAGCTCCCGGCTGGCTGGTCTTTACCTGCTGCTCTCAGTGCCTCCAGCCTTCTCTACTGCACACTGCCTTCATCCCCTGTTGCACCCAGGCTGGAGCTGAGCCGGGACAAAGGGCCGGAGGTGTGGGAATACACCGTCAGCCAGGGAACACGCTGTCCTGTCCCATCAGGAAAACGCCACACGGACACGGAGGCACTTCTGTTCTTTTCAGAAATAATCTTTATTAAAATACTTTCCAAAGTGGTTGATTGAAATCCCATATTGAATGCCTATCAGTAAGGTCATATATATATACATATATGTACAAATATACATGTGATGTGTTACTCTGCAGAGTAACTGCAGCTCCAGGGAGAAGCCGACACAGCAAACGAAGCTGAGCACACAGCCCTTGGTCCTGGCTCGGGCACAGGCAGAGCGTGGTCTGGTTTGGGATTCACTTCGTGCCCTTCACTGGGCACACGTAGAAGCCATGAAATAATTTAAGACATACTTTAAACACATCAGTCTTTTAAACAAAGGCTTTTGGAGCGCGTCCTCCTCAGTGAAGCATCTCTCCTTGCAAAGCCTCGTAAAAGGAACGCTATGGTGTAAAGAGTGGATTAAAACCCAGCTATTTTGGTATGACTTTTTTGATGCATAGGAATTGGTTTTGGGACACCTGAGGCCTTTAGTTGGCTTAAACAGTATCTGCACCTTGGATTAAAATACCCCAAAATTCCTCTTATTGCTCGGTGAGGGCATCCATGAGAGGAGCAAGGTGGGTGCCCCTATGCTTCGTTAATGATTGATTCCCCCTTCCTGGGCTCCCATCGCTGTGCTCTGAGCTGGCTGGGGGTCCCTGGGGACAGCCCTCACCGTCCCAGTGGTGCCCATAGCTCTGGCTGCTCCGGGAACTGCCTGGATCCACCCGGAAAGCCAGGCTGGTCCCTGGTGCTGTTGGCAGGACAGGATGCACACACTGCGGCAGCGCCCAGCCAGAGGGGTCAGGAGCCAGGGCAGGGGCAGGCAGGGTGATGCCAAGACTGATTTCAGGCTCTCAGCACCCCGTCTGCTCACCAGATCACCACCACAGGCTTTGCCCTGCGCACCAGCAGCCCGTCAGTCCATCATGGATAGTCTTGGTCCATCCAGAGCCAGGAGAACAGAGTCTCTCCCCATCCCCTGTGCAGCAGGGACGCCTCCTAAAATATCTTGAACCCCTTCAGCAGGGTGAGCGTGGGAGCCTTCCTCTTGCTCTGCGCCCGCGACGACTTGACAGTGACCAGCTTGGCCTGTGCCACCGAGGGGATCTCCTTGTAGTTGACGGTGGAGAGGGTGTTGAAGGTGCAGCTGGCCAGGCCGTGCCGGGCGGGCAGCGCCACCGGCGTGGCCACGGGCAGGCACGGCCGCTCCTCGGTGATGAAGAGCGGCCGCACGGGCAGGTTCCACTGCGCCCGGCGCCGCACCTCACGCACGGCCTCGTGGAACACGCGCTGCACCCCCGCGAAGTCCTGGCACGCCGACACCTCGTAGTATAGGCACCCGAACCGGCGCGCCAGGGACAGCCCTTCGGCTGCCGGCACCTGCCTGGCGAGAGCGAGGGGATGGCTGCAGCATCCCCAGGGGATGCAACCAGCCGAAAGGGGAGTGAGGGGTGCAGGTGGGGAGCAATGGACCCTGCCTCCTGGTGAGCACCGGGCTCAGCTCCTGGGACAAGCAGGGAACATGAGTCCCACATTGTTTTCGCCACGAGGATGATCAGGGGACTGGAGCACCTCCTGTATGGAGACAGGCTGAGGAAGTTGGGGCTGTTCAGCCTGGAGAAGAGAAGGCTGCATGGAGACCTCAGAGCAGCCTTCCAGTATGTGAAGGGGGCCTATAGGGATGCTGGGGAGGGACTCTTCATCAGGGACTGTGGTGACAGGACAAGGGGTAACGGGTTAAAACTGAAACAGGGGAAGTTTAGATTGGATCTAAGGAGGAAATTCTTTCCTGTTAGGGCGGTGAGGCACTGGAATGGGTTGCCCAGGGAGGTTGTGAATGCTCCATCCCTGGCACTGTTCAAGACCAGGTTGGACAAGGCCTTGTTTGATATGGTTTAGTGTGAGGTGTCCCTGCCCATGGCAGGGGGGTTGGAACTTGATGATCTTAAGGTCCTTTCCAACCCTAACTATTCTATGGTTCTATGATTCTATGATTGTTTTGCCTTTCCCAAAGGTCCCTGGGGAATCATGCAACCTCCCACGCCAGGGATGCGTGCCAGGGATGCGATGGCACTGGGAAGCAGGGAGGAAACAGCCTGTGCTGTGGGGACAGGGAAGCCTCCATGCTGGGAGCACAGGGTGGGTCAGCAGCGTGCGTGACTCAAGGATCCGTGGGACCAGCATTAAGCACAGCCCCAGAACAGCACAAAAGGCCAGGAAAACACACTGGGGACGTGCAGTGCTGGCAGCGGGACGGGTGAGGAAGGGCTCCAGGGAAAGGGCACATCCAGAGGGGAGCGAGGAGCTGGAGCAGGCTCAAGCCCTGCCTGGGGACGGTGACTCTGCCCAACCACGGAGCCAAAAAACATCCCACTGAAAATACCAGCAGGCTCAAGATAAATACATCATCCCCCGGGCAGGAAGCTCAGAGGTGTGGGAGGATGGGCATGTACCAGTGGGGGTGGAAATACCCAATAGAAATCAGATTTGGAATATTGCATCCCAGCTGGAGGGATGGGGGGCGAATCTGTGAGCTCTTCCCACCAGGAAAAGACAGCCTTGCCCCATGCCCAGTACCTGTACTCCTCCATGTCCAGCTTGTTGCCCAGCAGGAGCACAGGACAGCGGCTCTGGCAGCCCTTCGCGTGCAGGGCCAGGACCTCCAGGTAGCGCTGGCAGCCCTCGAAGCTCTTCCTGTCATCGATGCTGTACACCACGAGGAAGGCGCTGGCCCAGCACAGGTAGCGCTCGCAATTCCCAGGGCCATCCTGGAGGCAGAGTCGTGTCTGAGCCATGGTCCAGCGGCATCCAGCCGGGTCACAGCAGGCACCTGGCACCAACACTGCCCCGGGGTCTCACCTCGTCAGCCGTGTCCATCACCTTCAGCAGCACAGGCTGCTGGTCCACCAGCTCCTCCGAGGTGTAGGTGTCCTCTGCAAGGAGAAGGGTGGTTGTGAGGATGCACCGGGGGATCCGGTCTGCTCCAAAGCCAAGCAAAGCCCTGGATGCTTGGGGCACCGGGGAAAAAAATCTCAGCATCTGACACCTCCCACCTTACTCCTTCCTAAGACAACGTTACTTTGGGGGACTGGTGGTGATGCTGCTGGGAAGCCTGGCTAGGAACAGTTATTTCTCCCTGTATGCTGCAAGTGTGGGCTCCCATGGGATAAGGAGGGAGGGAAGGAGCCTGTCGCAGCCATCACTGCACCCAGGGCTCAGCCCTTATCTAAATGCCAGGACATGGCAAGATAAAGTGAGTCTGGAGCTCGACACTGGGGCTGTTTCCCAATAAATCAGGCAAAAGCAGCACCCCTTTCCTTTGGAAGGAGCACAGGCAGAGCCCCTGAGCCATTTTCCTGGGAGAAAGATGCCTTCTCCCGGCTGGTCCTAACGGATGCGTTTTGGAAAGGTTTTGACGTGGGAAGATGAAACCACATTCCTAAAACAGGTCCGAGGAGGAAAGGATTTGTCTTTCTTTCCTAAGAGTCACTGAGTTATGAGGAGCTGGAGTCGGTTCCTGGACAAGCTCCATATCTCCCTAATGTCCCCGATAAATCATTCCTGGTTCTTCCCCACGCCCTGGAGTCCGGCCTAGGAAAATAGGGATTAATTTCTGAAACGAGTGGAAAATAAAGCCCAGGGCTGCTCCTTGCAGAGCGCAGCCCCTGGGGCCACCCACTCTGCAGCCCCCTTGTCCCAGCCCTTCCCTGCCTGGCACCCCAGGAGTGAGCAGGAGGCTCCCCAGGGACTGCTGCCGGTCTTAGGGGTGATGGACATTGTTTGTACAGGTGGGTTTGGGTCACATCCAGCCCTTCTGTTGTTTTTCATGTAACTTTGGGTGCTGCTTTTTTTTTTCTCCTTCAATGCCACACTCGTGGGAAACACAGGGAATGGGAAGGATGCTCCATAGGAGCTCATGGAGGGGCAACACCCGCGGAGGAAGCATCTTACCCAGGTTCGGATCGTATTCGCTTATGAACCTCTTGGTTAGAAACTTCACGGTCAGAGCTGCAGGAGGTGAAAGAGGCGGGTGAGGCCGGCGTCGTCGTCCCCCACCCTATGGCACAGGCACGCCAGCACCACCCTGATGCCCGCCCATCCCCGTGGCCTCGGGGCGCCCGCCTCACCTGACTTGCCCGCCCCGCGGCACCCCAGGATGGCCACGTTGCACTCGCCGAGGGGGCTCTGGGGCGGCCGCTCGCCGCCGGCTCGGGGTTTGCCGAACACCGAGGACATCCTCAGTCCTATGGGAGAGACGTGGGCGGGGGGGGACGTGGGGCACCCGCTGCCACCCCAGTGGGGACCGGGGAGGGGGGGATCCCCTCTCCTCCATGCGCATCCTGCAAGCGCAGCGGCCGGCAGCAGCACCCCACCTCCCCCCCCAGCAAAGCGAGGGACCCCGCAGCCCTCTGCCCGCCCTTCGCACCCCAGCGAGAGAACAGAAACGCGGGCTCCCACCTTAAAGCCCTGCTCCGGAGGAGCCGCGGGGCTCTGGGGGGGGCCTGGGGAGCAGCAGCCCCCGTGCGCCCGGAGCGGATGAATGAGGCGGGAGGAGGCGAGCGCGGCTCCCTCGGCTCGGGCTCCAGCCAAGCTCCTTGTAAGGAATGCTCCGCGCCGGCGCCCATGGACGCGCTGCTGCCCGGCACCCGAGGACGGGCCCCCGGGCTCCCGGCACGGACCCCGCTCCCATCGTGGCTCCAGCCAGTGCCCGCCTCACCGCCCGCACGGCCCCACCGCCCCCCTGTGCCCCTCCGCTTCACCGCGTCCCAGCACCTTCCATGTCCCCAGCGAGCCAAAGCCCGGTCCCACCTCCCCGGCTGAGCCCGGTGCACTCACGACACCTCCCGCAGGCAGAGCAGCACACAGGAGCGATGCTGCCCGTGCATCCACCCTGCCCACCGCACGCGTGGCTCCTTTGGGTGCACCTCCTGCTGCTGGCAGAGGCGGGGGGAAACCCTTTTTCCACCCAAAAGGTGCAATCCCGAGGGGAAAAGGGAGCACTCACCGCTGCCCGCGCCGAGCCATCAGCCAGCACCCAGTGGGCTCCGAGCCTGAGT